AAAACCCAAACATTAAACTGTAAACCGGACCAAGCGCAGCTAAACGAAGAACGGACGCGAAAAATTACAATAAAAGCTAAATATACGATATGCAGAAAAATCCCAACACGAAGGACAAAGCTACGCGGACAATGAAAAACTAATGAACCAAACAACAGCACTAAAGGCGCGAACACGAAAATAACTAAGAACGCGGCGAACATAAAAATACTATAAAGGTAACGGAAAACATTCCTGGCGCTTACAGTTTTGCTGTGAACTACTTCTTGGAGTTATTTTTGAAATGGAAATGTACATTACTTACAATAATGTTAGTTAATTAATTATTACACAGTCAAACCTCTTTAATCCTGACACCAAAGGGACAGAACCAAGTGTCCGCTTTACAGAGGTGTCCGTATTATAGAGGTAGGGAATGTATGATTTTTGGCATTTCTGGGACCAAACAAACTATCTGTCTTATAGAAGTGTCCATAAGTAGAGGTTAGACTGTATAATTATTCTGTTAATTTAATTATTTCAAGGAAAAAATTTTGAATTTTGTCAATTCTAAAAGGATTATTTAATAGGCCATTTCCGAGTTCCCCCGAACCTCTGTTTCAAAACGAGGGTAGGTGCTCAGCTCTTGATATTTAAATCATTTTTCATTCTCATGCAAATAAAACTCATTTTCACAAGAAAGGTTGCGCACCTAGCTTCATTTTGAGCGTGAGGGTTTTTGGAACTCGGAAGTGGCCTATTGAAATGGAAAAGTTACAGTTTTGGATATAGAAAATAGAAATAAATTGTAAGGAGTCTCTTTTTTATTGTGAAAATATTTAATATACATATGTACATATTATATGAAAATGGACAGAGAATTATTTTAATAAAAACTTCAATACCAAAAATGCACCTAAATATGACTCTTCTTGATCTGTGTGTATCAGCGAAAATGGGTCATTGTGGATGCAAGAAACGGTCCAGGGTTGTCTCACAAACGTCCACTTTTTTATATACCGGATGGAATGAACATATGATTCGAAACTGGATGGTTAAGTAAAGATAACACATTTAGAAAATCCAGTGAATAATCCACCGAAAGTGGAATCTGAGGAAACATGAAGGCTGCAGAAAGTAAACCTATCAAGCTGAGTTTCCGAATTCATTGTTCCGGGAACTCAGCGGATAATTGAGTATCCTCTGAATTTACGAGCTGCGGAAACATGACGGCAGTTAGCGTTTCCGCAAGAGTAAACCTGAGGGAAACGCGAGTATAAGGGATGCGTTTAAGCGTGTCTGCAGAAACTGAAACATGACGTATACACGTGTTTCCCGCAACGGTTAGTTACAATTCCGTCTGCGGATATTCAGGTTTCCGTGAGGTAACCGTTACAAAAACGGAAACGGAAACACCTTTTTTCAACCTGTGTCAGGATCGGAACCGTTCCGACTCCCCTGAGGGATACCACACAAAAGAGGGGCCTTGCTTGTTGGAGATCCATGTCTGAAACAAGTTACCTCAAGAAGTTGTAAGCCCGTTTAATTTACGCCCAGCTGTATTACGCCAGAAAGGAAGTAGAGATGATAGGAGAAGTACTAAAGGTCAAGCCACTAACCGGAAAAGAAGCTACCAAACGCGCTGTGCTCGAACAAATCACTTCAGTTGCATTAATTCACATTGCAGCTCACAGGAGGAAGGAAACCGGGGAAATTGCTTTGGCCCCAAATCCTGGGTATACGACCGAGGTTCCTAAAGAGCCGAATTATATTCTAACAATGTCCGACGTGCAGGCTGTTAAGTTGCGAGCACGACTTGTTGTACTCAGCTGTTGTCATAGTGGTAGAGGTACAGTCATGTCTGAGGGCGTGGTTGGTATGGCAAGGGCTTTCTTGAGTGCTGGTGCTCGCTCTGTTCTTGTTTCACTCTGGGCCATTGATGACGAGGCCACAATGGAGTTCATGAAAAGTTTCTACAAGCATTTGAGATATGGAGAAAGCGCCAGTGTTGCTCTTCACCAGGCCTTGAAATTTCTGCGAGAATTGGACAAGTTTTGTGCCCCCGAAGTACTGGGCCCCATTTGTACTCATTGGCGATAACGTTACTATTGAATTTGGAGAAAATAAATAAAGGAGATGCAAAGATATTAACTGATCATATGTAGAAACCAATTAGTATTTCAGTCTAAAGACTGAAGTCGTTAAAAGACAGTGTAGACAATGCAGTGTAACTTGTATTAAGCAGACACTCACAGGACTTTCGCTGGTGTCCTTAATAAAGAAGACCTCTAAGTACAAGTTTGCTGAACAGAAAACATGGGAAGAAAAGTTGAGGCAACCTGAACCATTCGCCCGCTTAATACGTGTAGATTCACAATCGAGAATCTAAGAGGTCGCTGGAATAATAATAATAAGTTGAGTGTTTTTCCTTGCGAGACTAAGTTTTATAATTTTCCTTATCTGAATTTAATCACTTGACAAGGTAAAAAAAAAATGTTACTTAGCTTGGTATAACGAAAATATCCACGACATGGGTGAGGGGTGAAATTACAGTCAATTATCAATGGTTGAATGTAATTGAAATGATTGGAAGTAATAGTTGAAGCACATAGCTGTAACGTACTGTCTGGCCAGGTTATGGATGAAAGAACAGAAAAATGTCCTCTTTACCGTAGATAAAGCGGCTCGGAAGTCAGATACAACACGCCACTGGCTGACGGTATCACTCAATTACTGACCTCATTTACTGTGACCACATATTAACAGAGTCAGGCGTAGTCCTCAGCTCCCGGGGAGAGTGACCCCTATTCTTTACGATCGGCAGTGTCGGTTCCTTCACGTCAGTTTCGAATCAACAACTGAAAAGACAACGCCAACAGCTTGACGACACTTTTCAATGTTTTCCATCATTTCGTCTTTTATCACCCTGACAGGATCGACAAACTATTTGCGGTCAGCGGAGAGAAATGGCTTTGTTTTCTTTGACGTGTTGAAAAAAAGGTGAGATGGTTCAAATTATTTACAGCTCTGAAAGGCACCCCCACGACCACGATACAAAAGTTTCGCGCATTTGATGCCAAACAACCCACCTATGCTGAAGGGTAGCCACGTTAGTTTGTTTCTTTTTTTATAAATATTGCCGCTTTATTTTCACTCTTTATCCATTATCATTGACTATTTTTTCATTATCATCAATTTCTCCGTGCACGTCACGAGAGACGCCATCTTTGGCAATAAAGGCTGCTCCGCGCATTGTAGGCTAAGAAAGTTTACAACTGAATCTCTCATTATCGCATTTTTGTTTCATAAACATGAATTTCCAAAATAAAACGACCGATTTTACTGCGCTTTTGACAAACACGCCAACTCTAAAGTTCAAAAGCCGCTTTCACAAATGCGTTTTTTGCTTCCGTCAATCATAACTACGATCAAAAGCAACGAACCTTGAAACACACAAACACACAAAACCGATTGAAATTCACCAACCACAGATCACAAACAATGACCTTTTGAACCTGTTAAGTAAAGTTCTGTGTCCTAAGAGGTCCGCTAAGATCATTGACGGCAGCGAAAAACGCAAACTTCAGTTGGCTTTTGAACTTCAGAGCTCGCGTGTTTTTAAAAAGCACAGTAAATTAACACATACAATGTTCGTCGCATTCTCCGTCGTTCCACTGGATAGAAGGCTTTCATTATTTTAATGACACTGGAAAAAATCCTTGTTCTGGTGCAATCCAGTTAAATAACTTCAATTAAGGCCACTTCATAACCAAAGAAAACACCCTAAAAATAGAAATCACCAGGATTACCAGGAAGCAGAGAATAGTTTTACTTTAAAACACGAGGAAAGATGCATCTTTTAAACAATCCCTTGTTTAGTCTTGTCTTAGTGAATCGCTGGCGAGTTTTAAATCACCGTTGGTCCACAGAAATCCGATTTAGGATCAGTCTTACAAGTCAAATGCTAATGTTTAATATAGAGGTTTTGGCTCAATGGTTAGAGAATCTGATCTAGGACTCGAAGGTTCATGAATTCTATTCTCAACTGAGGGAATGGGAATTTTTTCTGATTTTTCTAGTGATTGATTTCTCCTTCCAAATTAATCTCCCAGACCCGAGATGTCGAAAACGTGGATAACGTAATTCGCCACTTTTTAACGAGAAGGGAACTGGAACCGAAATGCGTACCGCAAGTGTTTGTGGGATCATTACTGGGAACACGCCGGTCAGCTATTATACAATTTTTCCCTGTCCTTAATAACAGTACCAGAAGTCTTTGCGAAAGTTAACTCAGCTTCCTTCTCGTTCTTAAAGTGGCAAATTGGTTTCCCAAAGACTTATCCACTGGGGGTGTCTGCGTAAGAGGCTATGACGGTTCACCATGGGGTGTCTGCGTGAGAGGCTATGACGGTTCACCATGGACGTCTTGACGTCCAAGTCAAAACCACGCCAAATAAAATCAGATTCATTCAGGACAGTGTTTCTTTTTCCTTCTTTCTCTGAGACCGTAAGCCGGTGCCAGTAGTTCTCGCAGTTCAAACATGGGGGATTTCAAGCCTCAAAGAGGTCAGAAAGTGGCGTTGGCGTGAAGAGGAAGATGGAACAGTCCTTTTTTTCTTCCTATTTGCTTTTCGCACTACTCTCCATTTCCTCTCTTTACTTACCCCGTTGACTGCAAAAGCACGCATCAACACCGGAGTTAGTCCCTTATATAGACTTGCGAAGCTTTCATTTCTAACCTAGAAAATGATTAAATAACCAAGTTAGCCCAAAATACAGATTTTACCGCAACTCATTATGTGTCAAATTTAGTGTTCTACAACACCTGAACAAATTCAAGAGCACTCCTTAGTGGAGAGCCACTTTCTATTTAACAAATAGATTCCATTTGGCCGTGCGTCCGTTCAGTTATAGATCACAGATGACGTCAAAATGTGGTAAGAACAGAAAAGTGGCCCACGAGCCGATAGGCGAGTGGGTCTGTGATCTATAACTGAACAGACGCACGGCCAAATGGAATCTATTTGTTTTATATAATAAAACAACAAAAATAAATAAAAGCGTTTTTATTTCGAAAGAAGATACAAAGCACGGCCGTGATGGGTTTTTCCGACCGCGAAGAAAGTGATTTGACGTCATTTGTTATCTATACAAAATGGAGCAAACTGATTGGTTGCTGGGTGCAGCAACGAATTGTGATTGGCTAAGGAAATAACGCCACTGTCAAAACTTAATCGAGAAGTTCGCCTTTCGTGGAACAAAACATCACAGCGAAAGCTCAAATTCGATTCTGAAATCTTGAAATGTGTTGCAAAATACTGCTAAAATCTAGTCAGTTATGCTCATCAGAGCGGCTCTGAAGCCCGAAGAACACTTGCACACGGCCTTGAATATTGCAGTTGTTGAAAAAACCGCTCAGGAAGCTTGCTGATGCGGACGACATTGACACACTAGAAGCCATGCGATTCAAGCTTTCAATTAATGGTGTAGCTGATGGAGTGCTGGAAACGGTAGAAATTTGTGTACTTTGAGTTTGGTTGTACTGAAGAGCATTGGAGATTGTGTCGGATACACTTTCCAGCTGAGGTGCCGATGGCCTGGCGCTGTAGTGTGAGATGCTTTGCTCGCTGCTATGCCCGGAGACGAACATTATATGGCGGTCGGGTACATTCCAGGGGCACCTAACGAGAATATAGTTCAAAACCACTTAAACATAGCACTGTTAAGCGTATTTTAGTATTTAAACGGTAGATATAGGCATATTTTTATCCCCTAAAAATTTTTCATCTGTTCGGATTTCCTAGCTGAAAGTTTAGTGATCCAAAAATTTTAGGGATCAAAATTTACCTTTTCGAAAATTTCAGCCAGAAAAAAGGCTCCCGAAAATTCTAGGTGACCTTTTATGGGGTAAAAATCAGTTAAAAATAGGCAATTATACCATTTTTTTGATGTTCGAAAATCCTAGGAGAGGTAGGCAAGCAAGAAATTTTATAGCAAATGTTCCGAAAATTCTAGATCTCAAATCGTTTTGTCGCGAGCGACTGAGATTGCTCCAGAATTTTTTCCAAGTCATTCTCCACGTAGAAACGTGTCTTTTCTTCTTCTTCCTTTTGGAATTTATCAACTGCCTCGACAAGAGTTATTTCTATCTCCTCGTTCGCCCAGTCCGGCAAAATATTTTCCAAAGTTTCAAAATTGTCCGCCATTTTGAAAAAAGACAATTTTTTTCCTTCGGCTGATGACGTCAATCATGCATCTGTCCTCTAATAGATCATAAGTAAGGACCAATCAAAATACATGAATTACTGACTTTATTATATAAAAGAGTATTTGCAATAGAGTAAGGCGCTGTTCCTCCCATGTGCTCAGGTTTACAAGGGAGCTTAAGCAACGACGACGACGGCAGTGAAAACGTCACTAAAAGTAAATATGCCTTCTTTCAAACGTTATCGTGTCTATCAAGACCCGCTTACTTTGTCGAATGCGACTGTATGCAGGGTTAAAAGATAAAGGAGAATTCGTCGTCGTGTTTTCACGTCCTCCAATTCAAGTTTCACGTCCTGTCGCACACTGGACGTCAAAGAGGTAATATATCAAGCATGAGATGCAGTGTTTCATCACCAGATGAAACACCGAGAAGAGAGTTAAAAATACGACGCACAGCGGAGTATTTTTGACCAACTTCGAGGAGTTTCATCTGGTGATGAAACAGTGTCGAATGCTTGATATTACTTTTCAAACAAAATGATTTTAGAAAGAGAAATTAAGGATGCAAAAATGAGCAGTTTTTCATCTGATTTCCAAACACTCATTTTTTTTCCTTTGTATTTTCTTAATGTATTATTAATGAGTTTGAGAAGTGTGAATCAAAGGATGTTGCACGTGCGGAGCTGTTGTTTTGCTCTTAAAACCAATTGTTTTCTTTTTTCACGTTGTCGTCGTTGTGGTTTCAGACAAACAAACAAACAAGCATCAAATTGACCACAATTTTCTATATTGACTACACTACCATAGTTTATAAGAGTGACGTCAAAATGTACTAAATGTTCTCAAGTGATCAACAAATCAGCCACGGCCTGTACACAGCGAACTTACTAGTGCTATAAATGCATCTCTTACGCCTCTAGGATACTTTCCTTCGGGAGCTAAAAAAGAATGGTCGAGGAAGAAAATCAACCACGGAGGAAGAATAACTATAAGTCTATAACATTCTCTGCAAACAGGGAGTCTCTGAAGAGTTTGTGCAAGGGACAATTGTTTCACTTTAAGATAAAAGACTAGACTTGCAAAGGCAGAAAAACTGTTAAGTTTATCAAAGGGCAAAGAACAACGAAAGAAGATAAGTTTTGAGGAAAGAGCATAACGAGGCTGGTTACAAAAAAGGAATTCTAAAACGTTTCACTGAACATACCTACAATTGTAGCCAGGGTCCGTTCATAATTACGACCCCGTTATAACCAGGACGAAATTTTAACGATATGTTGTAAGGTCTTCCATTACTTATTCAATATCCACAATTCAATTTGAAGATAAACGCACGATATGCCGTAATGTTGTTGAAACTTCTTTCCGTCGACGGAAGAGCAAAGAAAAAGCTTCCCTAGAAAATTACAGAGCCCGGTTAACTCACTGAGTCTTGCCTGTCCTCCAAATGAGCACAGAACAACGTAGGCACATATGCAAAAACTAGCAGGTGAACGGAGGAAGAACGCTCGAACAAAAACACTTGCGGACGTGCAATGCTAACAAAACTTCGGGCGAAACGTTCGACACGTGAACGCACGCGAATACGTATGTGCGTTTCAATGAGTTACCTATTTGTACACGTGATTTCAACACATCGGCGGGAAGAATGGAGAACCAGCAGATCATGCCTGTCGTACCTTATAAGGTAAAAACACACACAAACACATCAATGAAATTAACCCGAGGTGGAAAAAAGGCAACACAACTATTTTCGCTATGCCATAAGAAACCAGGGTAGGATTTTGAATTTCTGGGGTAACGCTGTTTAAAATATCAGCCTAACAGGTCCTTCGCTTCTCATTTCCTGTTTCGGAAGTTGGCCCCAGCGCCAAGGACTTTTATCCACTGCAGCGCGCCAAATTTACAGAAGGAATTTTCCTCCTGTGAGTTTTACCCAATCAAGAACGGTTTTACTATTGGGCGGTCAATCACACAAGATCACGCCAGATGAAACGTGACTTGAACTATTTAACTATTTATAAATACAATTGAGCTGTGCATTTTGTCGGCAAACATTATCGGGAACTGCAACGCACACAAAAGATTTAGTGGGCGTTTTTTTGCTCCATTTGAGTATTTACCAAGGCCAGTTTTACCTGGCAGCCATGAGTAGGAAAAACATTACCGACTTGTTTTGACAAACTTTGGCACACGCGTCAGGGACGTAAATAGTTCGCGCCAAAATGACGTCACTTGATGCGATTTTTTTTCAGAGGAAACAAGTTGAGCTCCCGCTCTCTCGCTAGACTTTCTTAAAGTCCTTCGCTCCTCATTTCCGGTTCCGGTAGTTGGATAGAAAATCTACCGCTCGAGCCTCCCGCCCAAATAGAATACCCTGGAATACTAAGAAGCATTCTAGACGGCATACTCTCGACTCCTTTTCTAAAACGATCAATTTTGACCAGTTTCGAACAATGATGATCATTTGTCATTGGAACATCTTAGTATGACCACAAATTTTCGAGTCCGCATACGACGCGAACACGACAGTGGCGAACGGTATACCCGACGCGAACACGCCCGAATACTAACGCGCACTAAAGGCCATGACTTTGCGGAACTTGGTATCCTGCAGTATTCAAAGTAGAACAACTACGAACACTCTTCGTGTTTAAGACTATACGATCGCGAGTAGCAATGCTTATATCTGGTTCCTGAAATTCAGTTTGCATATTCTTGAACACGAACGTGTTTTATGTTTTATTGAATGTTTACGCTTTTGGGTCGTTTGATGGTTTGGTCTTATAGGATTCCCCTCTCACATGGGGTCTATACTTAGATCTATCTAAGCGGATTACAGAAGTCTCCTTTTTGACAAGCCTCCATCGCAGTCGTTCTTAGGGCTTCGCAACGCTCTCCTTAGGGAAGGGACACGTGAGGAAGCCCTAAGAACGTCTTTGTAGACTACTTTTTGTCTCGCGCAGTTCAATGAAGGAAGACATTGTAATTATCATCCAACAAAACTTTATTTAATAAAAAACATTTTAGTCATTTATACAATATTTACAATACTTGTAAGTTGAAAACGTTCCTTTCTCATTCGGGGATTCCATTAACTAAACGGTTTGTTATTACTACCAAGAACTCTCTTTTTAACTATTTGTAAAAAATGCCATTTAAAATTTTGTCCTGGATTTTCATTTGCCACTGATTAAAAGTTTCCTCTTGGATAATTGCAAAAAGAGATGACATTGTCTCTTTAAACCTTAAAAGAAACAAAATTTCTTAAAAACAATCCAAGAAAGCTCCAGTACCGAATGGTAATCATTGCCTCGAAAATCATCTTTAGTTTATAAATGCATGCACTTACTTAGGATAAACCTTTTCATTCCAACATAAAAAAAAAATCTATGTTCTTTCAATGTTTTTATAGTAATGATATTGCTATTCATATGTGAGCAATACTGCTGCAGTAGAAAAAATTCATTCAAAAATTCTATGAAAAAATTTGGGATGCTTTAATAAAGGAACAAAATTTCTTAAAAACAATCCAAGAAACCTCCAGTACTGAATGGTAATCATTGCCTAGCAAATCATCTTTAGTTTATAAATACATGCACTTACTAGGATAAACCTTTTCATTCCAACAGAAAAAAAATCTATGTTATTTCAATATAGTAATGATATTGCTATTCATATGTGAGCAATACTGAGCTCTTCAGTAGAAAAAATTTATTCAAAAATTCTATTAAAAAATTTGGGATGAAACCCCAACCTTGAAAGAAAAAAGAGGAAGAAAAATTTCTCACGAGGAATACTATTCACAGTATGTTAAGGAATAAACTGATTTAAAAAAATAGCCCAATGAGTTAATCAGTTTCGGAGTCATCATTTAAAGAATGGAATCTTTTTCTTCTCCTCCTGGGTGGTGATGCTGCAAGAGTTTCTATCTGCACCTCCTCTGGCTCTGAGTTGGGTTCAGCAAAACCCCTTGCTGCCTCTTCCCCTAAGGCCCAAGGTATATGAACCTTGGGCCTGGACCTTTCTGACAGAGGTCCCTCAACTTGAGGGAGGCAGCGTGGCCGAGTGGTCAGCGCGTCGGACTCGCAATCCGGCGGTCCCGGGTTCGAGTCCCGCTCTGGCCACTTGCTGGATTTGTGCTCGGTCGTCCCGAGTTTAAATTCTCGGCCACGCTTGTAAATAGCCAACTGGTTGCCTTCTGCCAGTTGTGGTTTTTAATCCTGTTATGTTGTATTTGAATTATTTGTTTCTAAATATTTGAGTGGAGTGCCTGTAAATTAGCTGACTAGCTAAGTGCACCTTCCACTATAAACATGCCTTTAACCTTTAACCTAGCTAACTCTTGGCACACGTGGCCGCACTTCTTCTTCTCTCGTCTGATCTATTCGTCCTTGTAGACAGCTCATCAATTCATTGGCCCTTGGGGACCTCCATCTTGGTGACCTTATGATCCAATTTCCTTCTGGTCCATCTTCCTCGTCACTCACAAAGTCATAGTTGAGCTCTTGCATCAACTCCATCTCTTGGCCCCTCGCCACTTTAACTCGTGCACTGAAAAGCTGAAAGAGATTTTAAAATTCACATTAAAATCGGGCTACATATATGCCATGTACTAGGATTTGGTATTATCCAAAAGTCTTAATTCCAGTAATAATTGCAGAAAAAAATGTTTAAAATGAATTTATTAGGGTGAAATATTTTGCTGAGTGAGTAAGTGAGTAACTTCCTCAAATTGTCAATTCTTTCTAGTGTTACACACTACTTGGAGACACTATATAATAATATATATGTATAGACTCAATTGCATAATAAGCTATTGCCTGGTGACATAAAACTATTTAAAAATATATAAATCAAAAAAACAATCCCGGTTACATTAAAAAATATGACATAAAAAACTATTGCCCAATGACATTTCAAACATAAAATGCTAAAAACTGCCTACATAATAATAAAAGGTGGTAAAAATATATACTGAAACCTACACTAGTTTTGAGAAAGGAAACAATATTGTCATAGCTACTGTTCTGCCCAACTAGGTTGCAACTGAAACAGCAACTTACAGCTGTTATTACAGTTTAGTCTGCAATTAAATATACTTTTGTCTAATGGAGATGCAATAGAGGCTTATGGGTGATCCACTTGGTCATTTTAAAGTCAAAACTACTATTAACTGTAATTTGTCACTGTACAGAACTATTATTGGTTGATGCTTTTTACACACAAAGTGGCAGAAAAAAGAAAAGAAGTTCAAGTCAACATACTCTTTTCCTTCTGGAACGAAAAATTTGAGTGATTTGCATGGAGGCTCACCACAGGGTTTGCCTTCATCAAAATGGCGCGTCTCAAAGCTATCATAGCGATTATTTTGCTCGTTGGTCTTGGCGAATGTGCTCGTGATTTAACAAAATGTGTAGTTTGCAAAAAAACTCTAACATGGTCTTAACAAAAGCGAAGTAGACCGGCTTTAACATACACGAGCTACTGACCTGGACAACAGCGCGCGTATATGTAGTGCCTGGAGGATTGCGCTGACCTCATCAAAGTCTAAACAAAGTGCAGAAACGTTTGTTGACGCAAGTAAACACTTTCAATTTTCTTTGTTTCGAAATGGGAAAGGAAGAGAAATATTAAAAAAAAAACATAGCAAATTTCAGCGAGTGGGTTCGAAGTGCGCGAAAGCCGATGTTCAGTTCAGCAGTGAATTAATATATGTTCTACAATTTTCCCAGCACTTTAAAGCTACAAAATTAAGAGCACACGAGACGTAGATTAGTCACCTGGTGAGAAGTTGGTGGTAGTCACTCTGTATGTCTCGAACAATAAAAAAAATGAATATCAATGAGACACAGTCAAAACTGCATTCAATAGGACCGAAATTAAAGTCCAATCTTGTGACCGATTTTGATGAAACAAACGGTTAGGTTTCCCAAGAAGTACAGTAAACATGTGATGCCGACCAAAAGTTAAAAATCATTAGAACATTTAAGTTCTGGCCTAAAGCAAATTCCTGTAAAAGATGCATTACAATGTTAGTCCACGCAAAAACAAGAAGTTCTACAATTTTCCTATAAACAAACTTTGTACCGCTAAAATACTTAAGGCAAAAACTTTCTATTCCAACTGAAAACGGCGTGGTAGTCGCCCGCTGATCGTTATTAATCCTCTCCCGAAATATGGCTAAATCAGCTATCTACAAATTATTGACAGAAATCCTCTACGGCATCGAGAAACTGATTTACATCCGATTTATAGACAAACAATAAATAAAGAACATTTTGCTCAATAGCTACGCATCAGCAATGCATTCTATGCCAAACTTTGCGGTTCTTAAAGGGGAATCAAGACACAAGTCGAGCGCCGAACAACAACAAGCAGCCATGTTCGTGTCAGACATCCTTGAGAAACTTGCTCTTTCACCTCGTTCAGCACATCAGTCTCCACTTTAAATCAACAGATCTTTACTTATTTTGTACAACGAAGGTCTTTCCTAAGTTCCTGCTAACATTTCAATCTCAAGCAAGCTTTCAAAGTGAACAATTTGGTTCCTATGACTATGCAGCACGGTCGCTGTCACTGATCGCGTGCTCTTTGACAAATCAGCGGTCGCGCATGCTCATGCAAAAAAGACCCCTTTTATCAGTACCCTCGAGAGTTTAAGAGCAAATGCACAGGAAAATCGAGCAAAATCGGCAAATCGTGGCCACAGCTCAAAACCTAACTTACCCTCCTTTTCAGTCTGTAATAAGGTTTTAACGAGCTTATAACACTGCTGAGGTTTAAATTTCAAAATGCGGCCGAGTTTGGGAATTATATGAGATTTTCGATTTGAACGGCCTGCGGGCCTAAAATCCGCCGCCGAACTCGGGAAAATAGCCCAGTTACAGAATTGAGCTGACTTTCATAAACGAGCGAATATATTGGCAATCTTCCACTTAAATCTCAAAAAACAGATATCTAACAATTTCTAAACAGCACATTCTTTTAGATGTAGAGAATAAAATATCGCCAACGAGCACAATTTTGAAACATAATTTGCATAATGCTTATAAATACAACAATTTACCGCTAAAACCAAAATCGAATTTTTTATATGGGGGAATTCTCCAAATCACCCCAAATGCCGGTTACTACCCAATGAGATATAGTACTTCAACATTATCTGAAAGTTTAAGGTGTTCTTGCGAAGGCTTGTAAAATAGATTGATTATTTTGAGGTTATTTTGCCCCAAACAACCGCTAATTGACCCCAGGGTCAGTTGACACGTCCACGTCACCTTAGTTTTATGAGTCGATTTGAGCTCGTTAAAAGGGAGAAACTAACAAGATTCTTTTTATATGTACCTGTTTTAATGAAATGCATGCAATCTTCAAAAGGAGAGGCCGTTCAATGGGTAATTTCTATTCTTGAGATCTTGTAGATTGCAGCATGGCGTCTGCAAGTGGACCTGAGTCTAGGCCTGTTCTCCCGTGACTGCGAAACCAGAATAACATCAAGAAATAATTCTCCCTCGAATCTTCGTAAGTGAATAAGCTTTGCAGTGCCTTACCTGAGATAAAAAGTGGGCCGAACAGGAAAACATTTCTTGCGCAATTTGTATCCTTCGTGGAAAAAAGCAAGGGAACGCAGTGTATTGCTGAGGTGAGTAAACAAACCTGGGAATGCATAAACAATGCATATCTGTCCAAGAGTATAAGAATGTTTGGAAAGATCCACCCCTAAATAACTGTGGGCTACTCCTTTTTCCCCATCACCGATGTGCACTTCCTTTCCACTGTCTTTTGCATGAGGCTTGTATGCCTTTTTAACTGTTATCGACACTTAAAACTGGGCGTTTAAGGCCTGGTTTAAGAACTTGACTGACTTAAAAAACCGTCGCGAACATGCGCTATTATAATTGTTGGACTTTGGAAGCTTTAAGCCCAATATGATGGTGCAATCTCGAGAAATTTGCCCGGGTCTAATCATAAGACAGGGAACGGGTACTAAGAAAGGGACGTTCTCGTTAGCAACCCGTGGACAATCTGGACATGCTTGCCTTCTGTCGCAGGGGCAACCGTTAAGGCCAGGTACGCCGCCCCCACCCGCGACTGAGGATTGCATGGCATCCACCATTTGGGTCGCTTTTTCCACATCATGACCTTCAATTATCATGAATTATAATGCGGGCCTTGATCGTTGCCACCTTCCCAGAAGTCTAATCGTCGCACTGTTAGACCGTGAGAATCTCTATGATTATTTCATAAATGCACCATTGACTTTTCCTTGTTCAGCTTCCGGTAAACCGATACTGCGAAGAAAAGATAGCTTTACAACGACTCTATCCAGGCCAGAACTCCTGATATCAACAAATATAACCCCCCTCCCCCCTAAAGAAAGCAAACTTTCCCCGAACTATTCACTTGACCCATCCATGCCTTCGTTAAGAAAACTACGCACTCAGTTCACTGGACAAAACGCGCTCGTGAATATACCAAACTATAGCCGTTCATCCTATAAGCAATATCAGTTTCAGCAGGCGTGGCCACGTTTCCAGTTGCTGTAAGATTAATTCAACACCTGCAACAAACACTGTAAATTAAATAGCAGCCACAACGCCCTTCTTTGAAACCGCCAGGACGAGAAAGTTTATAAAAGTCTTAACAGGTGTGCACGGCGGTTTCCTTTTCTTCCTTCCCTCCCATTGTAGCACTCAAATTCTGATCTGATATTAATTCTAGTAGTAATCAATCGTTCCTGAGTCGATGGGCACAAGGATACCGGTTTCTTGCAAAATATGCTGTGAAATCCGTTTGCTCATCCCCCTTTCTGCCTTCGGCCGCTGATTAGGTTTGGTTCTGTGCTTTGAAATAACTTTAAGAACGAGACACGATACGTGAGGGGCGTGTCCGGCTAAGGGCAAGTGACTCTCGGTGGTGAAGACATATGTGAGCTTGTCAGTATTTCGTAGCCTGTGCCACGTCGCAAAAATAGAACAAGCCAAAGAAAAATAAGACACCTTTCTTTCCCCAGCCCCCGAAGGTTTTTCGCATTACTTTTTACTGCACAACTGCTTTACTACCTTGCATTCTATCTTTTCGAGCCGCAGCGAACATGGACGCCCTTGGGGTTAAGTTTCCACTTCATTTTCGGCACCTGACTAAACGCAAGCGCTGACTTGTGCGCCTATGCTTCGTTTGCACTGAAGTAGCGGTATATGACCACGACAGACCTGCTGCTATCCTTGGTTTGAAACCGCAATGGGCAAGAACAATTTCTTGAAAAGAGCAAACTGTTTCCTCCTTAGCAGACAAGGAGAACAACTACCCGGAGGACTTAAGCAATGCCATTGCTCAAGTCCTACTAGACTTGAAAAGAGAAAGTCTGATGCTTTCTCTTTTTAATGATTTACGGCTAAACAAGACAATTTCATGTAGCTTTTACGCAGAATTAAATACTTAGTTGTTTGCAGAATTGCATTTAACAACAAATGACAGAAATTTATTTAAGTTTAGATCTCATAGATAAGACTTGAACGGAAAAAACTTTTGGGGTAAAAAAGTCGAAAAATAATGTTTGCCG